TCACTATGCCAGCCCTTACCATTGCCATGTGTTCTTAGATCTATTCTTCAAACAGTGGGATGAAGACAAATATTCAAACCTTGGCATGATGTTACTCAACAATTACCGGCAAGCGCAACAAGTGATCTCAATGGAGACTATCACGTTAAGGGAGGCTATGGCTTCTCTAGGCATACAAGAGGAGGACCTGGTGAACTGGCGGTTGGAAGAGATCCAGTACTTTCAAATGCTTGGGAAGGAACCTGAGTGGGATACGCACACAGTTGTCTATGTAGAGCTACTTCAACAGATGCGAGAGCTTGAGTAAGTGCTTTGTGAGTGCAATGTTCATGTAATTGATGTGTTTTGCAGGTCTCAAGCATCTGCAAGCTTTGCTCGCTTTCTTTCTTCTGCACTGGATGACTACCAATTTTCAGCTCCCTCACAAACCAACTTCTATGTGGCTAATCTCTCCCAGACACAGAAATTGGAGATGCAGCGACACTACACTACTGAATGACTTGCTTCAATTCAACATGATGTCATTTCCATGGAACTGAAGCTTGGCATTGTGAATTGTTGGTCCCCTTTATCTGCAGAGTATCAAGAAACTCTTCAATACTTGATGCTATGCAAGTATCATAAAGCACTGGATAATCTCCAGTGTCTTGTTGTGCAGTGGTTATTTGAGTTGCAGAGACTGAATGTCTCTCAAACAGGTAAGTCTATCACCGAACTTTCAGTTGCCAACTCGCTAACATATTTTACAGCATATAAGATGCAGACTCACATTGCAAAGTTGCTTCAAACTCGATGCTGAGCAATTCAAAATGCTGTCAAGAAATACAATGAGGCTGCATCAGAGCTATGGCCACCACGGCCACCACTTGAGTGGAGCAAGGTCTCGCACTTCAGCTTTCTTGACGAGTTCAACCTCCTTCATGAAACTTGGCAAGACATCCGTGACAAGCCATGGACAAAGCCAGCAGTTCATGAGACTATGCAGCAGTATCTCCACATTCAACGTGCAAAGGAAGAGATCATCCACTGCAATGTTGAAGTGCGCTGCCTGCAAACAGCAATTGTTGTTGAGGACGAGGAATTCATATGTGTCCTTGCGGCACTTGACACTGCTACCTCGCTGATTTTTGTAGCTGTGAAAGAACACTTGATTCGCCGCTGTCATATCAACAGCCAACTGTTATCATGCATTGATCAGATCCATTCTCTTCCCGGATTTAGTGGAGACAAGTCCTGTGGCATTAGGAAAGGGACAAACAGTGACCGAGCACCATCAACTGTAGCACCGAGTGAGCAGCCTCAGAGTGATGACTTGGAGGAGGATGCATTTGATGAAGATGACGGTGTGGAGAGGGACATTGGGATGCTTGTAGAATACCTGTCTGATCTAGCACTGTGTCCTTGATGTGATTGTATATTACATGTGTTGCAAATTCTCAATTGTGTTGTGCTCAGACTCAGAATTTGAAGCCATCATGTCAGCCAAACAGTTGATTGCAAATCAATCAGCCATCAATGCATCACTACTGACACCCTCATCACCTCAAACACATCCGTCAACCTCAACCATTCAACAACCATTCAACAATCAATGATCAATGATCAATAGTTCAGATATTCTGCACCTATGGAATCTCATTGGGCCATTGTTGGTGGGCAAAACCCAGGAGTTTATAAAAAAGGTGCATATATGTATTGTACACGGTCTTACTTCTCACTGATCATTGGTTCTTCTTAGACCTTTCATTCCTTGTGGTTTCCAGAGCGAGCCTTTCCCTATAGCCCTCAAATGCGACTCTTATAGTCAGGCCTCAAAGGTTCAATCAAGTCTACAGGGACTCATGAAGAATATTTCGAATAATACCACACCTGTCAATGCTGCTCTCACTTTATACCACGATCCTGTTGTAGCTGGGCTGCTCGACAGATTCAAAAAGTTCTATGTAGTTGTAATTGGTTATGAGTCTGGCATTTTCTTGTCTTGGTAAAGTTTCATTCACTGCATACATCCAACTCGAGTCTCACTGGTCTACAGGGAGAATTGTCACAGGATTCTCTTCTCCCTGCTTCAAAAAGCTTCCAAGTCTAGCCGCCGCTTTGGAATTCCTTATCACAAAGGCACATCATTTGGGTAACACTACCGATATCTCAAGTCCGTGTACTTCTACTTTACAAAGTCTCTCTCTTGGCAACAGTATGTGTCTTTTCACCCTTGCCCTTTGTTCTTTATCACCAAGTTCTTTACTTGGCTTCATTGAGAGATGGATCTAGATCCGCAGATGTGCATGATATATCTAACATTTGTCCTCCATTGACACCCACTCGAAATTCTACATGTTCTTGGAGAATGCCCACCAATCCCTCAGTACCTACACCAAAGGTTATCTACCAGCACATACATGAGATTGATGGCATCACAGATGACCTTGATAAACCGCAATTTGACGACACACCGCTCCCATCTTTCGGTCTCATTGCCGATTGGTACCTTCAGGCTCATGGGTATACTTCAAAGGTTTTACTTCATATTGCTTATGCTCATGATACGAGTTCTTCATGCCAGGATTTTGTGATGTCCATTGCCACCAAGGGGATGCCTATGGCTGAAGCTGTGTTCCTTTGGGGACTTATCACAGCTGATGGTGTCAATGAATGATGGTGTATCCTGTTTTCGCTTCAATTTGTCATATCAGCTTATTGCTTTTCACTTTACATGCTCACTGCCACTTATCAAAATCACGTGAATTGGTTTTTGTTATGTTACATGTACAATTCATTGCTCATATGACCCTCATGTCACCATGTGACAAGACAGGTAATGCTGTTGCTCGCTATGCATCAACAATGCACAAGATGTCGACCACCAAAAATTGAACAGTGTGGTGACACCGCCAGCACATCAAGCAAACTGCAGCCCAGAAGGTCTTATTGAGGGCTAAACACAAGCATCATGATGAGTACTCAGAGGCTCTTATAGCTGCTAGGAACATCATAAAGGAGCAAGCCACTATACTCCATGAAAAATTTGGTCGACACTCCGTCGACTATTATTTTGAAGAAATCATGCAATGTTCACAGTTGACGGGTCAGCGCAAGGTTACAAAATGGAACACTTTTGTGGAAAAGGAAGTCGAGCATCATAACTCATGTACTTGCATTATTTCTTTCTGCTGTCTCCAAACTCACAATAGAATTTCAGTGGTACCAGCTGGCGAAAGACAGCACAAAGCCTGCGAGCTCATGCCACAAATTTGTGCACGATGGCAAGAAATGGATGAAGACCAGCGTACTGCTGAAACAGAAGAGGTCATTGAGTCCATGAAGGAACATTGTGAGATGAGGGAATTGTCTTCCCATAATGTGATGTTAAGCGCATTGGCAGATGCTACCAAGACCCTCGAGAAGGTGGACTGTGAGGCAAGATTAATTTTATTTGTACTCAACCGTGATACTCATTATTCTTTGTAGCTTACGACTTTGCACAGCCGTACTGGCATTGAGTTCATTTTACTCGCCGTACGAGGAGACACTGAACACTGGAACCAGCCTCATGTTTTCAACACTGCTCGTGCAGCAGAGTTTTTTGATTCCTGCTTGAAGACTTCGCTAGGAACACTTGCTTTCTGCTTTGAAGGATACTGTGTCACAGGCGTGCAAGGTATGACATCTCCCTGTTATATAATATTTGACCTTCTAACCTGCACTGTAGGTCTCGCAAAAACACATGTAGAAGAGGTCCTTGACTTAAAGAAGAATTTGAGTGAGATGATTTTGCAAAAGCTTTGTGAGTGTGTCATCTCTCTCCAGTCTTCCTATCAGCCTCAATGTCGCTTTTTCCTCGTGCTAGAGACAGCAGCATCACCCAAGCAAGTCCAGCACATGTATTATACAAACTTTGACACCAACATAACAGCGAAGTATGGTGTGGTCCTCAAAAACTGGCCACTGTCAAAATTCTGCTGTCCAGGGGACATAAATTCACACAATGAGCTCTGTGTCTTGTTCCATGCTTGGGAGACTAAGTCTACTCGATTCTGTCGGCTTTCAGATGCTGAGTTCAAAGATTGGGAGACTAGCAGGTTTAATGCTGCTATGGCTCAGATGTCCGACAATACTAATGTAGATCCCCCAATGAATGATGCAGTGCCACTTCCTGACTCACAATCATCTGACTTAGCTATAGAGGTCAACAGCTCGTCTATGCTCATGCCTACCGCAGTTGATCAGGCCCCACCACCAGCACCACAGTGCAGGAAATGGCTGGCAGCGGAGCTCACTGGCGTCTTCTCTGCCTCAGGAGAGGGAGTTGTGGTTCAGAAAAAAGCCCACAAAGAGCGCTCTGATAAAGGCAAGAAATGCAGTCCAAGGAAAGGTACCAGGGCAGCTACTCCTACAGTGGGTTCCACATCTAGTACATTATCTTAGCTTTTTTATTCCCTTCTTTACCCTTAGGCTTACACATTGTTAAGAATTTTAAGATATATTGTTTATTATAGTACATATACATATATACTTGAATACAACACCAATGAATCAGAAATATGAAATACATAAGGAACAAAAAAAAAGCGCTAGAGTTTGAGTCAAAAATGAGGGAGATACTCAAGCTCAACATTGAGGATGGTGAGCATGAAGGTTTCGGATGTTGCCGACAATGTGTAGTTAGGGTGAGGCATGGTGTTGCCTAACTTGGTATGTTTGCGCTGGTTATTGGGAATAACGGACAATGCCAGTGAGGGACTTAGAAGTATTTCTCTGAGTTGTAGATATTCAGCATTATAGAGCTATTTATTGACAGTGTAGGGGAATCAAATAATCCATTCTAATTAGAATGGCATACCCCTGGGAGTCTGGCATCCTAAATAAGGTATGATTATGTCAGGTTGAGGTGATTTTAAGCACATGCTCATGCCTAGTTTGTACATAGAATACAAGCTATTCTGAAATGTAAATTCCCACATTTCTTGAGTGCCTCTGACAAAAGTGAACGATAAAAGAAGAGGCGATACCAGGGTTCGAACCTGGGTTCCGGGAGGATTTGCATGTCAAAATCCCGAGTGATAACCACTACACTATATCGCCTTGGGACACGTTTTAGTTTAGTTCTATTTGGATGGGTTGTGCTCGGGGTGCAACAACTGCGGTTACCATTACTTACATCCGCTCCGTTCTGCGATGAACAGCGACGAATCGTTTGCAGCACTGGTCAATACCGCCAATCCAGCAGCGTCCGGATACCGTCAGCGAGAAACCAACAACCCATACATCCATACAGATTATAATACTAATAACACGCCGTCTGGTTATCCTCCACAACCAAATCTCATGGACCCCTTCTTTGACGACGACGACGACGATGCTTCTCATTCTAATTTTGCTATGTACTCTGCTCAAAGACCAATGCAGTCCCAGGAGAGCGGCCTTCCTCTCGCTCGCTCAGGTGCACCCCCAGCTGGCATAGGAGCATCTTCTACCTCCCTTGCAACAACACCTAACGGACAACCACAAGGCTGGGCATTTGACGATGATGCTCTGTCGCCCGCGTTCTCACCTACCCCTTCCTTCCCACCAAAACCATCCTCGACACCCATGCGCCCGCTCAAGCGACACAGAAAGTGGAACTGGCCCTGGCAGAGGTACAAGGAACTCACTGGCGAGCGTATAATCACTCTCAACAACCCATTCATGAATGACGACTACTGCTCAAACTTTGTGTCCACGAGCAAATACAATATGATCTCGTTTCTTCCCAAGTTTCTTACCGGTCTGTCCCGTCTGGTATCCTGTACACCCCGAAACACCAACTGATGCATCATTTTCGTAGAACAATTCTCGAAATATGCCAATCTATTCTTTTTGTTCACGGCGTGCATTCAGCAGATTCCCGGTGTATCCCCCACGAACCAGTATACTACCATCGCACCCTTGGCCGTGGTCCTCCTCGCTTCCGCATTCAAAGAAATCCAAGAAGACCATGTACGTTATTTTTCCAATCACTGACCCATTCTCACCTTACCTCAGAAACGACACCAATCCGACTCCGAGCTCAATGCACGACTTGGCAAGGCGCTCTCCGGAAACAATTTCGCCGCACGGAAATGGAAAGACCTGTGTGTAGGTGACATCGTGCGCGTGGAGTCAGATGAGTTTATACCAGCCGACCTGGTACTCATATCTTCGAGTGAGCCCGAGGGATTATGTTACATAGAGACTTCCAATCTCGACGGGTGCGTTCCCTTTTTGAATTCCCTTCTTTCCCTGATAGACACTCTCCAGCGAGACCAACCTCAAAATCAAACAAGCTTCCCCACAAACTTACTCGCTCACTTCCCCATCCCTCGCGAGCGCTTTGCACGGTACGTTGCGCTCAGAACAGCCAAATAACTCATTGTACACATATGAGGGAACGTTGGAACTATTGAGTGATATGAATGTACCGAAGACAGTACCGTTGGGCCCAGATCAGATGTTGTTGAGGGGCGCGCAGTTGAGGAATACACCATGGGTATATGGGATCGTAGTGTTCACAGGCCATGAGACGAAGCTCATGCGAAATGCAACGTGAGTGGTTCAACCTTGTTCGAGGTCTTTTTAGTCTGCAGAATCATTGCAATTATCTGCAATACTAACCTCGGGTACAGCGCCGCACCCATCAAACGTACGGCAGTCGAGCGCCAAGTAAACATTCACATCATCTTCCTCTTCGTCTTTCTCCTTGCTCTCTCACTCGGGAGTACGATCGGCGCCAGTATCAACACAGTGTGTTTGTTCTATCTACTTCATCAGGGATTAGGGCTGACAGAACTATTGTAGTGGTTCTTGTCCGGCCAGCAATGGTATTTAGTGGAGCCCAGCACATTCACCGGGAAAGGTGAGTAACTCCTTCCGAGAAGCTTGCTCTGACCACCAACTGATTGCGTTTGATCAGCAAAAGCATTCATCGAGGGTCAGACATTTATTTCTTCTACTTATCCTCGCTTACTCACTGAAACTCTTCAGACATTCTCACCTTTATCATCCTCTATAACAACCTCATCCCCATTTCACTCATCGTCACCATGGAAGTCGTCAAATTCCAACAAGCCCAGCTCATCAACGCCGACCTGGACATGTACTACGCGCCCTCTGACACACCTGCACTCTGCCGCACAAGCTCACTCGTTGAGGAGCTCGGACAGATCGAATTTGTGTTTAGCGATAAAACGGGGACGCTGACGAGAAACGAGATGGAATTTAAGAAGTGCTCAGTTGCAGGGATTCCATATGCGGACGTGGCGGAGGAAGGTGGGGAGGAGGAGGGTACGAGAACGTTTGAGGAGCTGCGGGGGTTATTGTACGGGGACCCAGGGAAGCCAGTTAGTATGGGGGCGATTGAGGAGAGAGAGCGGGAGGTGGCTAGAGAGTTTCTGGCGTTGCTGGCGGTGTGCCATACGGTGATACCAGAGGTAAGAGATGGGAAGACGCATTATCAGGCCAGTAGTCCGGATGAGGCAGCGCTAGTGGCAGGGGCGGAGATGCTGGGATATCAGTTCCATGTGGGTCGCTCATTCCTTGTCAAATATCGTTTAACACATTCCTCCTAAATTCTTCTCTACACCCCACTTCCCTTTCATCCCCATCCTCCCGCAGACTCGCAAACCCCGTTCTGTCTTTCTCTCAATCAACAATACTCCTGCCGAGTACGAGATCCTCAACGTATGCGAGTTCAACTCGACGCGCAAACGTATGTCGACGATCGTGCGCACGCCCAGCGGTTCGATCAAGCTTTTCTGCAAGGGTGCAGACACCGTCATTCTCGAGCGTCTTGCCAAGGCACAAGCGTACACTGAGAAGACGCTTATTCATCTCGAGGTTCGTTCCATGTCCCTCCCAGCAATACAAATATTCATCATGCTCACCCAATCAACTTACAGGACTACGCGACTGAAGGCCTGCGCACTCTTTGCATCGCATATCGCGACATCCCAGAGGCCGAATACCGGCAGTGGGCTTCCATATACGAGCAAGCCGCTGTAACGATCAACGGCCGCGCAGATGCTCTCGACAGTGCGGCGGAGTTGATTGAGAAGGATATGTTTTTGCTCGGGGCGACAGCCATCGAGGATAAGCTCCAGGACGGCGTACCAGATACGATACATACGTTACAAATGGCTGGGATCAAGGTACGTTTGTCACAGGCATTTCGTCATGGCGTCTATGTCTACGACGCGATGCTGATGTGGTACGTAGATCTGGGTGCTTACGGGTGACAGACAAGAGACAGCGATCAATATCGGCATGTCCTGTCGGTTGATCTCAGAGTCTATGAACTTGGTAAGTTGGAAACGCGGTGAAGATATTCCGGTGCTAATACTCTACCTTTACAGGTCATTGTGAACGAAGATAACTCGCGTGACACTGCAGATTTTATCCAGAAACGACTTTCAGCAATCAAGAATCAGCGGAGCACGGGAGAGCTCGAAGACCTAGCTCTGGTCATAGGTTAGCACGCGCGAGAAATCAATCAATATCCTCCAACTAAACCTTGCCTTTGCAGACGGCAAAAGTCTAGGTTTCGCACTCGAGAAAGAACTCTCCAAGTCGTTTTTAGAGCTCGCGCTCATGTGTCGCGCAGTCATCTGTTGCAGAGTATCTCCACTTCAAAAAGCTCTCGTCGTCAAACTTGTCAAGAAGAACCTGAAGTCTATCCTGTTGGCAATCGGTGACGGTGCGAACGACGTGAGCATGATCCAGGCAGCCCATGTGGGCGTAGGCATCTCTGGAGTTGAGGTACGTGATCATCAGCCCGCGACATTGCGTCTGTGTTGAAAACGATCTGTATAGGGTCTACAAGCCGCGCGGTCTGCGGATGTAGCAATTTCACAGTTTAGATTTCTCAAGAAGCTGTTGCTGGTTCATGGCGCGTGGAGTTATCAGAGACTGTCGAAGCTCATCCTTTGTACGTATATCTGTTTCTCTCCGTTTGACGTATGTTCATCACCAAGGACCACAGACTCGTTTTACAAGAACATCACACTCTACATGACACAATTTTGGGTACGCATCCACCCGCTCGCTCACGGAATGTCTAGCTGACAATTACCTCGTAGTATTCCTTCTTCAATAACTTCTCAGGGCAGATTGCCTACGAATCATGGACGATATCATTTTATAACGTCATCTTTACCGTTCTCCCCCCTCTCGTCATCGGCGTGTTCGATCAGTTCGTATCTGCACGGATACTAGACCGATATCCGCAACTATATGCACTTGGGCAGAAGAACGTCTTCTTCACGAAGACGGCATTCTGGCTCTGGGTAGGCAATGCGCTCTATCACAGTCTCGTGAGTCTCATTCCGAGCGACGAAAAATTCAGTGATGGTGATGATAATAATGGTATTTCTAGATTTTGTTTACGTTCACTGTGATTTTGTTCTGGGGAGATTTAAAGCAAGCGACGGGTTTGGACTCTGGGCATTGGTTCTGGGGTGCCATGCTTTACCTGGCTGTCCTGCTTACTGTCCTTGGCAAGGCCGCTTTGGTTTCTGAGTACGTGTCGCTATTTCTTGTCTCACCCTCTTATACTAATGCGTATTCTAGTTTGTGGACAAAGTACACTGTTGCTGGTGAGCGCAGGTCTTCCTCTGCACAAACATCCAACTAACACTTTCCTCAGCGATTCCCGGGTCGTTCGTTTTCACTATGCTCTTCCTTCCTTTATACGCCGTTGTTGCCCCTGCCATTGGATTCTCTACTGAATACTACGGACTTGTGCCTCGTCTATGGACTGACGCTGTGTTTTATTTTGTCCTTATCCTTGTTCCCATCGTCTGCCTAACCCGCGACTTCATTTGGAAATAGTACGTCCACGCACGCTTGAGCGGGATAACTATCTGACGCCTTTTATATAGCTACCGACGGACATACATCCCTCTTCCATATCATATCGCTCAAGAGCTCCAAAAGTACAACATTCCCGATTACCGCCCGCGTCAAGAACAGTGCGTGTCACTTCGGGTGGCATATGCTGGTCGATACTAACCCCTTATGACGTCAGATTCCAAAAAGCGATCAAGAAAGTCCGCGCCGTCCAGCGCATGCGC